CACACTGATTCTAAAGTGCAAGGAAGCTATTTTCTTGCTATGGTATTGATGACCACAGACTCACAGTTGAGAAGGAGGGACATAGAAGGCTTCTGTGATAACCCCAAATTCACTCACACCCCCTAAAAACATACCATTCTAGACAAAAAAGCCATGGAAAGTAACTCTTAACTACTGTGATGAGGATGTTGAAATGTAGCTTTCCACAACTGATGGCTTCTAGTGGGGATGTGGATGGGGAAGAAGGCAGTTTTCTTTAAGGGGCTGGCCACTGGGAATTTGATCATGTTCCAGTGAGTATATGGCCAACACAAATTGGACCTGTTTTCTTTTTTGAGGGACCATGAGGGTTTGAGGTGTAGACCTGGGAGGACTTAGAAGTAAATATACTTGGGGTTCATGCTGTGAAACTCCCAAATAACCAGTAAAATATTAAGAAAAAGGGTTCTTGTATAAACCAGGTACTGTACATTTTTAAAAAACACATATGGGTGATACCAAAGACAGAGATTATGTGACTAGAAGCCATCACCCATTCATCCTCAATTTGCTGATTGAAGAGCCACCTTGGGGCTGGAGAGATAACTTGGTGGTTAATAGCACGTATTGCTCTTGCAAAGGATCTGGGTTTGGTTCCCAGCACCCACATGGTATCTCAAAGCAACCTGAGACTTCATTCTCAGGAGACCTGACACTTTTTTTCGGCCTTCTTGGACACACATGTGGTATGCATAGAATATAATTAAATAAATAAATCTAAACATATCTTTTAAAGACCCAGATTAATAGTGAAAAGTGGAAAGAAGGACAAAGCCATCCAACATATTCCCTTCCCAAGTCTATCTTCCAGGTCCTTAAGTGAGATTAAAGTTAAAATAACTGGCCAAGGATATACGAGTCCTGGTCAAAGTGTGGTCCCACCCACCACCTGAACTTCATTGCCTGGACTACATTGTCATCCTGTAAAGTGGTTTGTCAAGTTGTTAGAACTGTGAGAAATATCCTTCTTGGGAGACAAGTCACCCCTCACTTAGGGCCTCCCCCCCCCCCAGTATGAGATTCCTGGAGAAATTCCCATGTCTTTGGGCTATGGTATTTCAGTAGTCTGGTTTATTGAGAAACACAAATATACCTTTGTGGGATGTCCTTCTGTATGCTGAAATATGTGTTGCTTTTATTGGTTGATGAATAAAGTTGTTTTGGCCTATGGTGGGGCAGAATATAGATAGGCAAGAAATACAAACAATAGATATGGAGAGAAAGAAGACAGGGTTAGAGACACCATGTAGCTTTAGAAGGAGTAAGATACCAGAAAATTATGGGTAAGCCATGGCCACATGATGATACCTAAATTAGTAAAAGTGGATTATTTTAATTATGAGAGGTAGTCAGTAATTAATATTAAGCCTCTGAGTGTTTATTTGAATACTGGCGGTGGGAGAAAAATTTCCATTTTGTTTCTGATAGGTTTGTCACATGGGGACTTGTGGTCCAAATGTGACAAATGAGGGAACCAAGATGCAGTCATGAAAAGAAGAAACTGAGCATTCATAGCTTTATCTGCATAAGATGTCAGCAAACCATGTTGTGAGCCTGTAGTTCAACCTTACTGTGTGCCTTCAGGTCTTCACAACTAACTTCTCCATGGAGCCCTCAACTAATGCCTGTTGGAAACAGGATCAAACATCCATACATAAACACTGAGTCGAACTAGAACCCAGATGCAGATGGAGAGGACAAGACCAGAAACACACAGAGACAGCTTATCTGAACAAGGAGGAGCTAACAGGCCACCAGACTGATAGCTGGGAATCCAGCATGGGACTGACTCAGACCCCCTGAACATGGGTCTCAGCTAGAAGGACTGAGCAGTCTAAGGGATCTCAGACAGTGGAGCCAGGATGTATCCCAGGTGCACAAAAGGACTTTGCGAACACATTTCCCATGGAGGGGTAACTGCCTTAATCTAGAGACAGGAGAGAAGCCCTAGTCCCTACTTCATATGACCTGTCAGATCTACATGACCCCAACTGGATGGCATTCCCCTACATATGGAATTGGGGTGGGGAGATGGGAGGGGAGGGTGGTTAGAGTGCATGTGAGAGAGCAGAGAGGGTAAAAGGGAAGGAAGGAGGGAGAGAGGAAAGGAGGGAGGGAGGGAGGGAGGAAGAGAGAGGGAACTGGGATCGACATGTAAAATAATAAATTAAATTAAAAAAAATGCTTTGACTCCAAAATTTAAGTTGAAGGACAAGTTACTGGGGAAAAGGATTTCTATTTTTGTTTCCACAGAAAATGAAAAGGTGTGGATTCCTTCCAGACTAATTTGGTTTGATCACGCCAGACCGCCTGAAACAGAGTACCAGGTGATTCTACATTCAAAACAGCTGGAATAAGCAGCCTTACAGACTACAGCCAGGATTTCTGAATCTTCTTCGAATCCCCCATGACAGCAGGAAGTAGTTTGGAAAGAACAACGCCCAAATTCCCAAATATTGTGTATGAAGGTTTGTTTTCATTTAATTGGACTTTGTTATATAAAATAAATAAAAAAAAAAAAAAAAAAAAAAAAAAAAAAAAAAAAAGTCAGCAGCTGCCCTCTAGTGTTGACTCCGCAAATGACAGCTTCTCACTGTGGGGAATGGCAGAGTTATGCCTGGTCCAGTGCTCTGTAATCTTGGGATTATAGTGCCAAAGTCAGGGAGTGAGGTTAGAGTTTTTGTAAAGTGGGTAGTGTTGGTTATCACATCCAAGTATGCTCCTGGGTTCATGAATGCTCCCTCTCCCACAAAATGAATAAACTCAACACCATAGATGCCATTATTTTCACCATTGGGCTGATGTTATAGAAACTGCTTTGAGGCTTCAGAAATAAACATTTTTTTTTTCTCTAGATCTTCAACATTTTAGACTTATAACATTGAAAAAGACCATTTAAAGAAGTATTATATTTAAATGTAATTTTGATGTGTGGGGAAATGCTTAAAATACAGATACATTCAAAGAATAGAATGGTCAACACTTTTTACTCAACAGCCAAGCATATATCTTGCTGTATTTACTGCCAGGTCTTAATTTTTGTTTTCTACGCAGATGTGACTATGTGTGTTACATGTCATGTTGTTTTATTTGATCTTGATACTTTCCAGAATTTTTTCCATGTGATTATTCTTGTTTGGTCATAGTATGATCACACATTTAGATTATTTTTATAATCAGAAGATGTGCAAAGTGTATATTTTTGTGTGTGTTGAATATAGGGTTTCACCCATGTTGGTCACGTGGTAGATCCCTAAACTATATCCCAAAATATATTTTTTCACTTAATTTGTTGCTGACTTGAATGAATTTATAAACTTTTGTAATTTTTATGCCTCAGTCTCCCAACGTTTAAAGAATTTAGTTGATTTTGCTCAACTCTCAATCCTTTTGACTTATAGCTCTGAAAACTAGTGTTCTGGTCAGCGTCTAACTCAATGTCATATATCAAAGTCATAACTCAAGGACAATATCAAGATCATGCAAACTACCATGACATGCAGCACACGTATTCACACCTCTGTACAAAACAAAAATAAAAACCTGCCCCTTTAATGATGACTGTTCTTAGAAATATTAATGACCTTTTCCATCATGGCAACAAGCCGTAATTTGAGGTCACCTCACATGTGAGCACACCTTATGGATCCAAGTGATGTCATTCTCTCTGCCAGTTTATCAGCTGCCCAATTTGCAACTCCTTGGCAATTGGTTTTTGTCTTTTCCTTCTCAAGTATCCTAAAAATTTGGAGCACATGTACACCACATATACTACCTACCTCCTGTTACACATATTCCAGAGATCACTGCAGCCCTTCTGAACACTCCCTTTGCCTTCTGTAGTCAGTTTCATGATACCAGACCTTCTGACCATCAAAGAAATCTGGAAAAGATACAGTAGGGGAAACCATAGACAAGGGCCATACATCTGGGTTGAGCAATTCAGAGATGAGATTTCTTGGTAATCTTTGGAACTCTTAACTCCATGCCAGGTACCTGGAATATGAACTAGATACTCTTCGACACTCCCTTACTCCAATATTTTGTTATACTAACCTGCTCACACTCAACTTTATGTTTTTTTTGTCTTATCTGCACTAATCTGTCAAATGAAATTTGTTTACACATTTCCTCCCTCTCCCCTTTTTTTGATGCATTTTCTCTTAAGTTTTATTTAGGGAAGTAAAACATACAGGGATAATGTGTATCATTATGAAAAAGAGAGATGGGACATGGAAGAGGGAGGAAGACAGAGGGGACAGGGGAAAGGATATTTGCATGGGAAGGGTATGAAGACCATTTTTCTTAGGCTCTTCTTAGGCACCATTCTCAGTGGACACACAGCAGAACTCAAAGAGGATTGACTGAAGTAACACAGTCAGAGTGTATGTGGCATGATTTTGGAGATCTAACCATGTGTACATGTGTCTCAATGTCTGTGTAAAAATCCTTTCCATGTGTGTATTTGGTAGATATGTGTTTGAAGTTGGAATGTGTTTCATATGTTGTGGATGTCAGAGAGCGGAGATGGATAAAGAACAAATAAGCACGTTGAAACACACAGTGCTGCTTCTTTGAAATAGTTTTAAGAAAATTAACTCAACAGAATAAGGACAATTTTAGGACAAAGACTTCAGAGTCAGTGATGAGGTGGAGCAGGCACCACTCATCCTTGAATGTAGAGAAAACCCTGTCATTGCTGTGGCTTCCCAAAGTAATAGATACCAAGTGGCCATGAATACTCTCCTACCAATGTGTCCTCAAAGTATAACACACACACACACACACACACACACACACACACACACACACACACACACTCCCACCCCATACATAAAATCACAAATTTGGGCATCTTTTACTTATAGACCTCCTGACAAGCTTTTGCTGTGCTACTTCCTGCTTCATACTGAGAAAGCAAGGACAGTTCAATAACCCAGTGACACACAGACAGCCAGGTATGGAGTTAAAAGGCATTTAATTTGAGAAGAACATTGAAAATTCACTTCTCTCACTACCCATCAGCCTCCTCGACCCCATGAATGCTGAGCCATGGGAAGATTAGCCAAGATTTGGGCCTCGAGAATGAGTGTGAGAGACATCTTTTTAGGTAGTGCAAAGAGGGAGGGATTAAAACCTAAGGTCACATCATGTGAACCACAGAGCAATGGGATGAATAAGCAGAGTGGAAAGGGGCCTTGGCATCCAGTGATTAGGTCTTCAAGGCATGGCTGCCGATGACATTACTTCTGTTTTGTCTTCTGCTGGCATGGTTCTGGAGTGACATTTGAGGGGCATGGCTCAGGAACAACTGGGTGGCAAGGCTCAGGTGCCTTGGGGTGGCAGGGCTCTGGAACCTTAGGCTGGCAGGGCTCAGGAACCTTAGGCTGGCAGGGCTCTGGAACCTTAGGCTGGCAGGGCTCTGGAACCTTAGGTTGGCAGGGCTCTGGAACCTTAGGCTGGCAGGGCTCTGGAACCTTGGGGTTGCAGGGCTCAGGAACATTGGGGTTGCAAGGCTCCTTGGTTTTGGGGCCACAGGGTTCCTGGGGTGGTGGCTGGCAAGGCTGTTTCACCTGATGCTGTTGCAGCTGAGGGGGTGCAGTGCAAGGCTGCTTCTGCTGGTGGGAACTCATGTTTAGATAGCACTTGGTCCTGGAAACAAAAAAAAAAAAAAAGCCAACTTAGTAATTCGTTGAAAGAGAAGGTAACTTTAATGCCAAGTAAATTTCATTTCAGGCCCCTTTAAAAGAAAGAGCCTCTCTCTGTGAGGACTTCTATACTTGGAAGTGAAACTTGATGTCAAGAGAATGAGCCAAAGGGTAGAGAGTAGTTTGTTCTGGTCCATCTCAGTGGGTTCCTTCCTTACTCTCATTCCCCTTGGTCATGTTATATATCTAATTGAAGATGTTCCAAGATAGGTGTGGAAAAAGCCAAGTAGAATGACTGACATATGCATATGAAAATCTCACATTAAAACCTATGCCTTTATGATAACCAAAAGCATTAATAATAAAAGAAAAAGCAACAAAACATCTCAAAAAAGCTGGCTTCTGAGTGGCTTGTGAATCCACACACCAGGAGATCTGGAGATCAGGGCTGTTCAAGGGCAGCAACCTACCAACTTCTTTGTGAACTGAAGCACAATATGACTTGCAGGGTGGCTGTGTATTAATCCACAACTGTGGTTTTGCCTTTTCTAGTCTATGCTCTCACAGTTTCCTATAGCTTTTCCTCATTTCCATCCCTGCTTACCAAATACCCTCCCACCACAGTTCACGGTGCATGCTACCTCTAAGGGGCTGTCGGCGAGCCACACATCCCCCTTACGCCCCCTTCCCACCATGACTTCTTATACTGTCACTGTCTATGCAAGGCATCTCAATTTCACGTGTGTCACCTTCTCTGCCAGACTACAAGTTTGGTAAGCTCCAAACTGGATTGAAAAGTGCTTGGCAGACCCACTTAATGAATTAAATTTCTATATTGAGGTTCCTACCAGTGAGAACTGTAAGTAGCTCTGAACGCTCTCTGGGCCTAAGCCTTAGCCTGTGTCCTCCTGTAATCTTAGGTGAACATCTGAGTGGATCCTCCCTTCCTCTGCCCTGATCTCTGATTCCACAGCTGTCTACCAAAGTGGCTGACTGAACAATCTCTCTTCAGACCCAAACTGTGCTACAGTTTAAACAAGCAATTCTAGTGTTCTCTAACTCTAGGTAGCATCCTACATCAACTCTGTCACGACTTTGGCTTTGTACAGTTTCCCATAGTGAAAAAATAGGCAAGAATTTCAAATCCATTGCACGCAGAGACTTACTTACCTTATATGCAGAGAAGAGCAGGCTCTTTGTTAGCGTGGATCCTGTGAGAAGGCAATGGCCAGCTGGGCTTTTATAAGAAGGGGCATCTCCAGGAAACAGACTTGCCTCAGCTGCTCTGTTTTCATTTCTTACCAGTGGCCCATGACTCACCCTCTTCCCCTAGTTCACCCTCTGACTCAGCTTTTGTGATGGAAACCACCCAGCTGATATAATGACACTGCCAGTCTGACAATGATGTCACCTGGGTTCCCTGTTACCTTCCTCTTCAGGCCCAGGTGTCATGCTTGTGTTGGGAGAGGGTTAATGAGCTGGCCTGGAGGAGGTCTGAGGTGGTCCTGGCACCTGCTGTTTTCATTAAGTTGACAAAGTAGTGTGTGCAAGTCAACAGAGAAGGGAGGAGGAAAGAGGAGGGTGGGTGTTTGCTGTCTCTTAGTGAAGGGTGGGTGCTGAAAATACCTAATAGATTATAGATTATAGATTATAGAATCTTCAAACTGTGTGGATGGTTCAGAACTTTATGTGTATTTCTTGTATTTTCTCCCAACTTCATGGAAATGTACACATTAAAAATTATTTGCTTTTAACTCCCAACCCCACCCCTTTCTGGCAGGTCCCTTACCTGGGAAAACCTGTTTTGCTTCCTGGACACACCTGCCCATCTCTTCTCCCCACAGCCTGTTTCTAAATATTTCAACTGCTAAAAGCTGATTAGTTTTCCAGGATAGCTTTTCTTCCCACTCCACCCAAGCAGCTGGCTGTGGCTATTTCCGCTTTCCTAGCCCAGCTGGCTTCTTCACTATTCCTGAAAACCTGGAAGCCTTTTGTAACCACCTTCATCTTAGGGCCAACAGTGGAGGTTTCAATGGCTCTGAGGAGCCAGAAAGAGGCCTAACTTGTGGGGGGGACCTCAGCCGTTACCAAGATGAGCCTGTGAAGCTTTAAGAATAAGGCTTCTAGATATTTGCAAGGCTCTGGGGATAAATCATAGATTTTTCCAGATCTGCAAGAGGTAGGATGGCCATGAATTAGAAGAAGGAGAAATAAGATACTCAGATAGCTCAGCCTGGGAAGTGTGGAACAGAGACTTTCTTAAGCCAGCAATCCCGGTGTTTGAAACTGGTGCAGTGTCTCCCTCAGAGGGGTAGCATGTCTATGTTGATAAGTGCCTTCACCTGCAGAGAGCTCTTGGGACAGAAATGACTGACAGAAATGACATTCTGTTAGTATTTGTTACACATATCACCATGAAAACATTAGTTTGAACAGGCACAGAACAGACCCTTGAGAGCCCCCCCCCCCCCGGGGTACTGGTTCAATGAAGGCAGGAAAATAATCTAGTCTTTGAAGCCTCCAGCCAATCAGAGTCTAAGGGAGGAAGGAAGCTAAAACAACAGTTTCAGATTTATTTATTTAATCTGTATGAGTGTTTTGCTTGTGCTGTGCATGTTTATGGAAGGTATACTGGGGCCATGGACGCCAGAAGAAGGTGCATATTCCATGGAACTTGAGTTAGGGATAGTTATGAGTAACCACATGGGAGCTGGAAACTGAACCTAAGTCTTCTGCAAGAACAGCAAGTGTTCTTGATCATTGAGTCATCTCTCCAGTTCCTAAAAAGACTATTTTTCAATTCAGTAGATTTTACTCTGAAAGAGGTTCTAAGATAGAACAGGAGCATGGCCAAGGTGAGACACATTTTAACACATGCCATGGAATAAATTTGCTTCAGGATGATAATTTTTCTGGGGATTCTCCCTGTCAAGAGGTACATGTGTTCTGAGGGCATATGAAGAAGCATTTGCTTAGCCCTGGCACCAGCAATTTTCTCCTGAGGAACATAACATGAGACTGATGTCACTGATTCAGAACCACATTCCAAACACTATCTGTTAAAGGGTGTGACCTTTGGAACATCTAAATTATCTTAAAACTCATGTGTAGATGGCTCCTCATCTTCATCCCACACCTCTCTTTCCTCCCCTTTACAAACACACACCTAAATGTTTTTGGAGCACTTGCTAGCTCCACAGCTAGATCACCTCTTGTGAACTCGAGTCAAGACCATCCTTCTACTTTGTCCCAATAGCCACTGGCTCTCATTCATGGAAACATGCCAGGTAATGTATCACATCTGCTCAGTGACTGGCAATTGTAGACTTGAAGCATGAGTGAATGAACAAATGAGGGAAGGAAGGTAAGAAAAAAGGAAGGAAAGAAGGAAGAAAGGGAGGAAGGAAGGAAGGGCACTTTTCTAAACAGAGTTTGAAGATACCTTTAAATTCTTGTTCAGTTTTATTTATCTTATACATATGGGTATTTTGCCAGCATATATGTATGCGCACCAAGTATGTGCCTAATGGCCACAGAGGTCAGAAGAGTGTGTTAGAACCTTTGGAATGGGAGTGAGATTGTGAGGCACCATGTAAGTGCTAGGAACCAAACCCAGGTCCTCTGCAAGAGTAGCAAGTGCTCTTAACTCTCGAGCCCTTGCTCCAGCTGAGTCTTCCTCAACAGTGGCTAGGGAGTCCCTTGTAAGAGGGCATCCCTTTGTGATGGACCTTTCAGGATGGTCTGAGGAGCCCATATGATGTTTCTGCTGCCTTCCCCTTCCCTCTATGCCATTGTTACCTAGTGTCGTTACCCATCTTTCTGTAGGCTGGTGACAGAGTCACCACCACATCTGAATCCCAAGCCTCTTGCTTCACCTCGGTCTGCTCTAGTTGGGCTTAGATCTGTTTCTCTCCAAGTTCCCTTCTCAGGTGTCCCAATGTCAGGAACTCCAGAATGAAATACACTGATACTTTCGGGTAGAATTTGTAGCTCTAGAGAAGCCTACTTCCGTCTTCACTGTCCTCTGGTGGCACAGAGTTGGAAAACTTCCCTGAGCTCCATGGATACAAAGGGGGTGTTCTCACTGGATACCATTCTCATTTGGTACCTTTCTCTTTGGGTACTTGTCCAGGTAGACTCTTCTGCCCTCCTCAGCCTGTGCTGCCTTTACCCTGGGGCAGACTCTATCTCAAGACACTAGCACTTGCTCTTGACACTCATACTGGTTGTCCTATTTGTATATCTAAATCCTATTCAGTGGCTGAGGAAGTTTTCTCCCCTCAGTGTTCTTAGTTTCTCTACCACCAGGGCCAACTTGAATACAACCTCATAAACTGTTACACAAATAGGTGGGAAACTGGCTAGCTCTAACTGTGGAAGATAAAAGTATCATACAGGATTTCTAGTCTTGCCCAGGGTCTCCTATTGGCCCCAGAGGGCTGCTGTCTTTTAAAGGATGAAAGCTGGCTTCTTTCATCCCAGCTGCTTAATTGACCACTGAATAGGATAGGAGGATATCCCTGGGCCACCCCTCATTCAGACTGACTACATGGTTGTCAGGCTTTCCCCGGGGTTCCAAGTTCAAGTCAGTTACTCCCTCCACTTCACCTCCTCAGGGTGGGGTGGGGGTGTCCTCAGGATTGTACGAAGAAGGTCATATGCTATTGCAATTTCCATCCTTTTTCTGTGAGTCTGTACATTTAAAGTGCATTCACACAGAAACACCAAGTCTTAAAGTAACCTTTACCTCTTCTCTAATTGCCAGGAAGAACAGGAAAACCAGAATACTAGCTGTTCAATTCAGGCTGTCAAGAATTTTTAAAACTGTTTCTATGAAATCTTGAGTCTTTATCTGAAGTAAAGCAGCACAACACCAGTTCCTCCAGGCGTTGGATTCTCCTGAGCACTTGGCCCAAACAGGCAGGAGAAGATGGAGTTGCAATTCTGGGGCAGGAGAGTGAGTACATGAACTCAATACTAGGGAGTTAGTTTCCACACAACCCCTAACCTTTGACAGGAGAAGAACAAGGTACAACAGGGACACACTTCTGGAGTCACAGCTTGTTTCTCAGATAATTTGGCCAGATCCTGGGACTCCTGATTTTCTCTTCTCTAACTGTTTCCCTGGGTACAGACCAATCTTAAATCCTCCTTTCTCTTTCCATCCCTGAGGAGATGAATACAAATTTCAACCTAACTTTTCTTGCTTGAAGATGGTGGAAGAGAAAGGCAGACTTAGTTAACCTCTGGTCCCTCACTTTTCTCTTCTTTAACATTCTTGTCTTTAAAGAAAATGTATTCTTCTCATGGAATTGTTACCAAGAATAAATGAAATGATGCTCGAGATACTTTGAATACCTATTCCTGTTGAGAGTGCTCCTTACCCCTTCAGACGGGCATCTTCTAATTTTCTCAACCTCTGTGATTGTGTTAGCTCCCTTACTTACTTTTGCCCAACTTTCTGGTTTACTTTTTTTTCAACTCTATCTCAAGTTATTAGATAGTGACAATGGCTGCATAATCTCTGATTTATAAGAACAATCTAAAGTCAATGTTATTCATCCCATGACCTGAGCATGCCCTGGTTAAAGAAACAGAGACAGGTAAATCATCAACTTTCCAGGAGTTCATAAAGATGAGCTGTGTTGTGTTACAGTCTCTTGACAACTATGTGTTGTGCTATGGAAAGTCACTCTTAGAAGATGCTATGACCAGGTCATGACCTGATCACATATCTCCATTGATCAGAGTTGGGATCCTCTGTGTATGGACGATCAAAAGATACAGAAAACTACACAGAACATTGGAACCTGAGATGGTTCAGGCTGATGCCCTCTCCCTCATAGCCATCATTACCCCAACAGGATGTTGAAAGACAAACAAGGCTAAAAGTTTTCTACAGTGAGTATCTGTCATTAATTAACCATGAGGGCTCAATGCCATTTGTATGGCTGCTATTCCCCTCTCTTATTTGTGCAGTTGTGCTTGCTCTGCAACTTCCCACAGAGTACAGGGCACCCTTTGTAGAGCACAGGTTTCAAATCCCGAATCTGCACCTTACTAGCTATGTTTGTGATGCCAGAGAGTCTCTGAATAACAACTGTTACCATTATATTAGCCCTGATTCACACAATAGCAGTGCAAGAAACAGGCATGGAAGCTGAGCCACAGTCTCTGAAGAAGTTGGGAGCAATCAGGTGACAGACAAGATGCAAATACAACACTGTGAGGCTCAGGCCCCTGAGATTTGGTTTGTCTTACCTGTGTCTTAGGAATGATAATATTTGCTTTCAGAACTGTTATTACTTGAGATTACATATGCAAAGCAACT